CCCCAAAACCCCAAAACCCCAAAACCCCGTCATTTCTAAGATTATCAATAAATTAATTATATTTTAAAAGCTTTAAATAGTTATAGAGCTATATATTTATATAAATACAGTTTTATTAGACCTCTATATTGAGTAAACCACAGTTAAAATTACCCATTTCAATCATAAATTTTTCTTTGAGGAATAATTCATCACTACAAACTTTTGATTATTAGTGCTAGGAGATCGAATCTTGCTATATTAGTCTTGAATTGCATCAACATTTGGGAATTCCCTAAACTTATCTACTACTTTCAATGGAGTTTGATAGTTGCTGATGCTAGGCAGCTCATCTCTTCTGAGTATATCATTATTTAGCAAGTTATTCTAGACATCGTCCTGATGTAAGTTGATCCAAGACTTAGAAGTCTCCTGCTCCAGGAAGTTGACCAGATTATCTTTGCTTAGTTTCTCTTTACTATCCATTCGGTCCAGTGAATCTAATCTTCTTGAGTTAACTTAATTAAGATAGTCTGCATCAAACATGTTAACTTTGGTTTTTACTCTCTCCACGCTGGATTAATGTAGATCATTGTAAAGTTTGGTAGGTTTAGAGATCTACTTGATGTCATCAAACCTTGGTGTATTCATTGAGTTGGGAATCTTAAACTTAATGGCATCATTAAGTGGGTTACTGATATCTGGAAACTAGTAATCCCCACTTTTCTTAAGCATACTGTCCTTTTCTACTACTTTATCCAGAAGTTGATTGTACATATACTAATGTCTAATATCCTCAGTCAGTTGCTGATCACTCAACTTTTCCTTAAGCTGCTTTACCCCTTCAAGTGCCTACTATCTTTCAAAGTCTGCATTAAGGCCTTATTTCTTCATTTCATTTAGTTATGACTGCATGTCAACTTCCTACTTTGCCATATCATGTCTGAGTTTCTTAACTTCTTCACCCACTTTCTCTTAGATGTGATTGGCCACATCAATTGGAACCCATTTACCCTGATGCCAGTAACCCTTTTCTTTCCACTGACCCTCTCTATCTCCATACCACCACCAATCTCTATGTCTTGGATCACCTCCTACTGGCGGATAAGGGTATGGATCTTTTGAATTCCACCAACCAGGATGGCTCCAATATTTTTTATGCCACCAATCAGGTGGTTGACCATGCGCGTTTTTCCAATATTTTGAGTCATGTGGATGATGAGGATCTCCAAGCCAATAGGCTTCAACTGGCTCACTTCCTTTCCTGAAACTTTTATACTTATATCTATCCTCATCTCTCCGATGCCAATCTTCCTTTAAATACCTGGCTGCTCTTTCTTGATTATCCATTATTCTACGCCTTCTTTCTCCGATATCATAGCCATAACCATTGTCTAGATAACCTCTCTCTCTTCTTAATCTTTCCTCCTCAAGTTCATTTTCTAATCTGCTTTTATTATAACGATCATACCTTCTAAGTTTATTATCATCCATCTAATGTATCAAATCATGTCTATATAAAGCCTTTTTAATCTTCTCTGGATCATTAAGTTCTCCTGGCAATAAGCCATGAATGCCACGACCTCTAGCAAAATCTCCTCTATAGTAATCGCCACCTCTTAAATAATCTCCACCAAGCCAGCCATACTTTCCTCCTCTCCAATATTAGTCTGAAAATAGTGGATTCCTCAGTTCAGGTAAAGAAGGTACTGAACTAAATAAAGATGGAGGAATTAGCGGTACAGGTGGAGGATTTATTGGATTTCCAGCAGCATTCAATGGATTAGCATTAATTGTTTGCAATCCTGCTGATTATAGAAGTGGGTCTATTGCAGGTAGTTTAATCACTGATTAAGTCGGCAAAGTCATCCCAAACCCCACCGGACCTAGAGTTGGCAGAGATAAAGACGAGGCTAAATGTCTTGCTGGTGATAATGACAGATCTTTCAAAAGTCCAGTCCTGATAAATTGATTTTAGGAACAGACATTATCATTTTATTTTTAGTTTAAGGTCTTAAACTTACTTTCCATAGGGTGAGAAGTGATTGACAGTGTCTAAATGATTCAAGTCTGAGACTCAGTCATTGATCAACTCAAGTGCCTTCATGTGCTTTTTCTGAGCTATTTGGGCACTCAATTCACTTGCAAGTTCATTTTGTTTTTGCATTTTTAATTTTTAGTAAACTAAGTTGCTTAGTTGAATAATTTAAGGAATAAACTCAATTTAGCAATTAGCTCTTTGTTGTTAAGAATAAGTAAATTATTAAATTATAAATTGCAATAGCATATTAATAAACACATTAAATTCAAAATGGATAAAAAAACTAATCAAAGCAAGTTGTAAGACTATGAAATTCTTAACAAACTGGGCCAAGGTTCTTTTGGAGTGGTCTATAAGGTCAAAAGAAAGAGTAAGCATTCGATTTAATGATTACCCTATTTTCATTTCTTAAACTACTTGAATCTCATATTTGATTTGTAGACGATTAGAAAATTTATGTATTGAAGCAGATTGACATTTCAAGGATGTCGGGAGTGTAGAAGAAGGAGGCTGTGCACGAGGCAACTATTCTCTCTAAAATCAACAGTCCCTTCATAGTCAAGTTTTACGACTCCTTCACAGACAAAAACCAAATCAATATCATTATGGAGTACTGTGAGAACGGAGATCTAGGTATCTATTTGAAGAGACAGATGGGTAAACAACTTAGTGAAAGCAGAATATGGAAGTTTTTTATTGAAATGTGTCTAGGCATGCAGTATCTCCATGCCAATAAGATATTGCATCGTGATATCAAAACTATCAATATGTTTTTGACGAAGGAAGATAAGATCAAGATTGGGGATTTAGGAGTAGCCAAGATGCTAAACCAAACTGCTAATTTCGCTCACACTGTAGTGGGCACTCCATACTACTTATCGCCTGAGTTGTGCGAGGAGAAACCCTACAATCACAAAAGTGATGTCTGGTCTCTCGGATGTGTCTTGTATGAATTATGTACTCTTAAGCATCCATTCGAGTCTAATAACTAGGGTGCTTTGATCCTAAAGATCGTAAGAGGAAAATACAACCCCATATCTTCCTAGTATTCAAAAGATTTAAGTACAATGGTTGACTCATGCTTATGTAAAGATTATAAAAAGAGGCCTAGTATTAATGATATATTGAGCTTCCCTGTAATGGTTGAAAAATCTAGTTATTTTGGGTATACTGCTACCAGGCCATTAGAACTAAAAGCTTAGCCTCTCTAAACCCCTTAATAATAAAAATCAGCAATGCCTCTGGAATAAGTCAAAAAAATAAATGATGCAGCTGCAGCAATTAGATCAAACTAAAACAAACCAGGATAGGCTCCAACTTCATAAAACAATTAAAAAGATCTAATTTCTCAAAGAGAGAAATAGTATCAATAAAATCTTATAGATGCTAAGAATAAGCAATAAGCCCAGGCTTAGGCTTAAGGAAATAATTAGGATAACAAGAGTGCAGGTGACTAACCTAGAGCTTTAGCTCAGGCTTAGTAAAAACCAATTGTTAGTAGCAATAACATTCCGAATTCTTATGTTGATCCAAATAGAAGACAACCTAATATTGTTAGTCCTCAATTATAAATCCAGCAAAAACCAAATGTTCTAAATAATAATCAATTTGATCAAAAGGAATTTGAGAAAAAATAGATAATTCAAAACCAACAGAGAAGGCCAGTTTCGAATTAAAACGTGAGATAACAGCCAGTGTTTGGATAATAACAACAGCAGTAATAGTAAATTCAACCAATTGTAAAACAAATCGTAAGCACATAAAATCTCAATCAACAATATGCATAGCAATAAATACAAGCTGCTTAATAAAAACAAAATCCTTAGAGTTAAAGAGTAAAAAGTGGTGCACCTTAGTAACTCAGCAGATAGGCATAAATGGCTTAAAGACAAGGTCAAAGAATTATCAAGCAAGGAGATAGCGATAGATAACCGATATTCAAGCCAGATATAAAAGCTCTATAGCCCTAGGAACAGTAAAAAATTTAATAGATAAAGCATTAACAACATCAACCAATAAACTAAAACAAGTAAAAAAGTAGCAATGGAAGTGGCAGTGGAAAATCTTACACAAACGAAGTCTAAGAGGTAATGAATCTCCCAGATGAAATAGATTCCAAGAAGAAGAATAATGCTGCATCTCATCAAATGAAAACCAACTAAGAGATTATTATGGAAGCTCAGCGCAAGAGAGATGCCTTGAACAGAGTCAACAATAAATATGCAAATGAGATTTCTAATAAATCTGCAAGTGAACTAAATGATATGAAACTTGTCATTCCTTAAGGAAAAAATATTGATAATCCCTCTTCGTAACAAACTCCAACTGATTCTTCAAGAGCTTATTAGTCAACAGATTCTATGAGCACTCCATCTCAATAATAAGAATACAATGATGAAGAACTTATACCAGTAGGTTAAAAATAAATAGACGATGATGAGTTTGCAGAATTACTCAATGGCGGAGGGTAATTTGTTCAAGCCAATTGGAACATTAGAGCCACAGACAACACTTAAGGATACAGAGAAACTTAATACGTGCCACACTATGAGGAGTAAAAAGAAGACGATTAGGTAGAGTGCTTTAAGGTTTAATACCATAGAGATCCTTCTCCATTTAATAACAAAATGAAGACCATCAAGGAGGAGGATGAAGAAAAAAGGTCGAATGGATCAGATACAGCTTATTTTTCTCCAGATCAAGATGCTGAGTTCAACGACAGAGATGACCCATATGATTCTGATGAGGAGTACAAGAAACGTTTAGAGAAACTTGGATACAATGATTTTGATGATGATGAGGATAATCAACCATATGACTTGGAGGAGCAGTAGCGTCGAGAGAAGGAAGAGTTTGGGGATGATGAGGAAGAAGAAGATTAAGAAGAATAGGAGGACAAAGTACTGCAAGACGTGGATCCTATGAGCATGACCATGTAGATGGAGTAAAGGCGAAACTATGAGAGGGAAATCAAGAAGTTCAGAGGAAAGTAAAATGAATATAAGTTAAAGATCGAGCGAAAAGTATAGGAAGGCTCTGAGCTTGCTGGAGTATAATTCTTTAAAGAATGTTTTGAGCTATTCTGTAAAAAGGCATAGGAGGTAATATAATATTTTTTAAATTAATTATTCTACTTTTAGGCTGATGACATGACTGATAAGGATATGATTTAGATCACAGAATTGATTGCCTCAAGACTTCCACATGAAAAATCTGTTTAATTAACTGGAGTGTTATTCTAGTTGTATTTCTATAAGGAGGAGTTGTCAGACAGTGATAGAGAAATACAGAAACTGTCACTAAAAATACATGAACTAGATTGATTGTTATTGAATTATTAAAATTTCCACAAACAAAGTATATATGTTGATTGGCATACGTAATTTTCTAATAAAGATAAAACATTTATATATTTTTCTCAATCTATAACCAATTTTAGGATGCAATAGCACAGCGGGGTTTTGGGGTTTTGGGGTTTTGGGGTTTTGGGGTTTTGGGG